GTGATTATGGTGGGGGTTTGGGTCGTCCTTCGCGGAGTCAAGGAAAGAAAGTTCGGTGGGTGAGACCGGGTGAGAGTAGGGAAAGGAATGCTCGTCAAAAGTCACATGACGAGAGATGATAATTTTGTGGGTAAGGAGTTCAAGACATCGGTATCCCCGTTGGTTAGACGGGTACCCGAGGAAGACACAGCGGGCCGAACGGGGGGCGAGTTTGTGGGGTGTTGTGGCGGAGAGGTTAGGGTAGCAAAGACACCCAAAGACACGGAGGTGAGAGTATGTGGGTTTGTGACCATAGAGAGCTTCATGAGGGGTACGATTTTGAAGAGTGGTGGTGGGTAAGATGTTGAAGAGATGAGAAGCCATATGAAGGGCTTCAACCCAGAAGGTGGGTGGGAGTTGGGCTTGGAATAAAAGAGATCGAACGGTATTATTTATAGTGTGAATGGTACGTTCCGCTCGTCCATTTTGTTGACTGGTGTGGGGACAGGAGAAACGAAAAAGAATACCCAGAGATTCAAAAATATTTCGAAGAGGCCTGTTTCTATATTCAGTACCATTATCACATTGCACAGCTTTAATAGTAGTGCTAAACTAGTTTTTCACAAAGGCTATAAAAGTATGAAGGTGAGAACATGCTTCAGATTTACTTCTAAGAGGAAACACCCATAAAAAATGTGAATAATCATCCAAGAGTAACATATAATGTTTAAAATCAGTAACACTAGTAACAGGCGATTGCAACAAATCAATATGTAAAAGCTGGAATGAAAAAGTAGAAATACGACTCGATGACTCAAATGGGAGACGAACATGTTTTCCCAACTGACAAGCATGACAAAGATAGTGCTGTAAATGTTTAAAAGAAATAGTAGACGAGAGACTAGGGACTCCACGGAGGACGACAAGGCTCGGGTGACCAAGTCGACGATGCCAGAGCTCCGGATTTCCGGTGGCAACGTAGGCCTGAGCTTGGACATGATCGGCTGTTGGGCTCATAGGGTAGAGTGGGCCTGCATTATTGGACCGATGAATCACGGTTCCCGTCAGCATATCCTTCACAGAAAAACCAGTGGAGTCAAATTCAATAGAACAATTACTGTCACGGGTGAATTGTCTAACGAAGATAAGGTTGCGAATTATGTGGGGAGAGACAAGGATGTTTTGTAAGTGGAGGGGAGGGGATGTGGGAAAAAGATAATTACCAGTTGCCGTAGTGCGGACTTTAGAACCATTACCGACAGTAATATATGAGGATGAATTTAAAGAATGAGTACGAACATGAGAAAGAGTACCTGGGTCTGAGGCAATATGATGTGTGGCGCCGGTGTCCATGTACCATTGCGGATCACGGAGGCTCAGGGTGTCAAAGTTATGGGCTAGGGCTGTGGGTGTGAGGGTGTTGGCACCGGCTGAGGGGGTTACGGGTGTGGGTGGAGGTGGCGGGTAGGGTGGGGCTGTCGGGTAGGGGCTGGGGTACGGGTAGGGGGCACCGGCGTGTGGGTGGGGTGTAGAAAAATAGGCCTGGGGATATGGGTGGGGGTTCGGACAAGGCCCGAGAAGGCCCGGGTTAGGGTTTAGGTTGGTGAACTGCCCGGAAAGCTGCCCGTGGGTGTGCCGTGCATTTGACCCGGAGCTTCGGCCGCGACCACGACCCCTCTGCTGTCCACCGTGCTTCCGATTGTGCTGAGACTGTCCAGGACTGCCCTGCCGCTAGAATCTGCCCGTCCGCCACTTGCGCTGCCATAGCGCCGTGAGTCACCACCGCCGGGTCCTCCACTGCCGGCGTACAGTGTCGTGCCGCTGTCCTTTGCGATACCGCCGACACCCAAATCAGCCTGTTGTTCAATTAGAAGGAGGGCCGACCGGGTTTGGAGAAAAGTTGGGGGCAGCGTTTGATATTGAAGGAAGGATGTTTGAGCACGGAGATCGTCCGGTAAGCCACGGAGAACTTAGAGAACGAGTTGTTGTTCGGAAACGGCGGCATCCACATCATCCAACCAATCCGCTAGGTTACGAAGGGTTTGGCAATAGGCGGCCATAGAGAGAGACCCTTTCGTGGTGGTGCAGAATTGGTGCTCAAGTTGCATGGCCCGGGCCGTTTTGTTGTCGTGGAAGAGATTGTAGATGGATTTCAATAATTCCAAGGCCGAGTCGGTGGTAGAGAGCACTAGGTCACAAACTTCATCATTCACCGTAGATAAGATCCAACCTTGAATGAGGGCGTCGAGTTGAAACCATTCGGCGTCGTCGGCGCTTGACGGTGATGACTTGCCGGTGAGAAAATCACCCAAGGAGAACCGGCGGATGAGGAGGAGAAAGAGCCGGCTCCACTTCTTGTAGTTTGGCTTGGAGAAGCTGAGAAGAATCGGCACATGAAGCTTGACGTTGGAAATAGTTGTGAACGCCAAGTGAGGAGTCAGAGAGGACGATGCCGAGCCGGTGACGGAAGTTTTCTCGGAGTGGCGTTGAGGGCCTGCCGAGAGAGGGGGGACTGCCGAGGGGTGCTGTGGCGAAGAGAAAGAGAAGGAGGCTGCCGCCGGTGATGGGGCGGCGCTGTTGGAGTTCGACCGAGAGAGAGAGGAGGCGGCGCTGGGGCGGCGCTGCTAGGGTTAGGTCGAACGAGAGAGAGAGCGGAACGAAGGCTCTAGTACCATGAAGAACTATTATTTTCTGCCAAATATTAACGGAGGGCTAAGCCTCGTATAAATAATACAGGAGAATCCTAACTACGGAAGGAATCCTATACAAGGAAACTATCATGTATACAATGATTACACAATTAATATTAAATATATACATACTATATTTAACAGTTTATTTATATCGTTTTATTGATTATTTTATTTGATTACTGTTCCTTAAAACTTTTTATGTTCATTTTTCACTTGTCCTAAAACACTTTTTTCCTTTGAACTAAATGAATGTAAATGTTTATAGTTCTTATGAGCATTTGTTTGCATGACTTTGTCAGCAACTACATTGGTCTTACAAAATCAAGATATGAGCTCAAGAAAATTACCTCGATGGATTGATTCGGGAGATTCATCATGTCCCCTGAAAGCTTAGTCCTCCCCCAAAAGATATCGAGCCATTTTTACCACAGTTGCTAACCAAGTATGATAATCATCTTCAATGGCATCAGTGTTAGTCGATAAGACATAATCTATGTTCTTTTTTTGACTAAGATATTGTTGAACTTTAATTGTACAATAAAAATGAGAACTTTCTTTGGTTCTTTCATGGTCAACAAATGCTTTTGGACAATCTTTCCCGTTGTTAAACCCAACTTCAGTAAAAGCCTTTGATCTGTTTTTGTTTGTATTCGCAAACAAATAACAATGCAAACAATATGCTCTATCCTTAGCGACACTATACTCCAACCACTTAAACTTATCAAAACAATAAATTTGAAATCGTCTTTTGTTCTTGTCTGTCATACTTTGTGAAAATTTATCCATCAATGGTTTACAAGGACCTTTTGCTAAGTATCTTCTCTTTATTACATCTCCAATTTTCAATGGATAATTATTAACTGATTTTCGTAATCCCGGATCAGCAATAATATCATCATTTGAAACCACACATTCTTTCTCTATAGAAGAAGAAGCTTTTTTTCATTGTTTTTATCACTTACAAATTCTAAATGCTTCTTTTGTCTAATAACAAATTTATCCATCTCACGTCTCAAGATTTCTTGATTCAATAGTAAAGTAACAAAATAAAATATCAATAACCATAGAGCAATAATTTCATATATCTTATTTGTTGGGGAAATTAACGAAAACGTGGAACAATCGAGAATCGTGTGTGTGTGGGTGTGTGTGTGTGTATAGTCTTGGCTCCAGATGATGGAAGATAGGGGAAAGAGAAACACAAGATAATTAGATTTAAAATGTAAACGCGTAAGGCAGATGAACATCAAATGCGAAATGGGGGGGAACAGCCCAAGAAAGATGCCGCGTTTTTTTACACCAAAACGCCTAAAAAACTACAATGTAAAAGGTATCACTCTATTTACCAACAGTGTATGGTGTAAGTGAATAATTTGGTATCAGCGTTCACTCCGTTCTTGCTCATGGGCGGTGTGGTTGGTTGCAATTTGAAAGCCATCTTCACTCTCACCCTCTTCATGATTTTGACAGTCATTTGCTCTTCCAATGTCTTCTTTTTTAAGATATTGCTTTTGGTTTTGGTTTATTATGTGCATCAACATTTCTCCGGCCTTCATATTGAAATCACAAGGATCTGAAGTTGTCGAACTAGGCTCAACACCCTTCTTGGACTTGCTGCTCTGATAGAGAGAATCGAGGATGTGAAAATACGGGCAAGTTTTAGAGTCTCCAGGCCTCCTCTTGTGGCCTTCTTTCACCCTTCGATAATACTTGTTAATGTTCTCCCATTTCTCTTTACATTTCTTCGCATTCCTGTCATATCCAAGCTTCTTCATATCAGCAGCGATTTCTTCCCACAAGGGACCCTTTGATCCATTCCCAAGGTACTGCAAGTCGAGATTCGTCCGAAGTTTAATCAAAGCTTCGATTTCCGCTTTAGGCCATCGAGAAGACCTCTCGCCAGAACAGTTGTCCTTCCTCTCGTTATTATTATNAATCGAGGATGTGAAAATACGGGCAAGTTTTAGAGTCTCCAGGCCTCCTCTTGTGGCCTTCTTTCACCCTTCGATAATACTTGTTAATGTTCTCCCATTTCTCTTTACATTTCTTCGCATTCCTGTCATATCCAAGCTTCTTCATATCAGCAGCGATTTCTTCCCACAAGGGACCCTTTGATCCATTCCCAAGGTACTGCAAGTCGAGATTCGTCCGAAGTTTAATCAAAGCTTCGATTTCCGCTTTAGGCCATCGAGAAGACCTCTCGCCAGAACAGTTGTCCTTCCTCTCGTTATTATTATTATCATTTAAGTTTAGTTCAGGGTGTTTCTCAACGCTGGGAGAGGTTGAGTTCATGTGAAACTGCACTGAGGGCAAGGGGTGCCCTGCAATCTTCTGCAGGAAAGCTATCAACGCAGCATCCTTTGCCTCTGCAATGGCCCTCTCCTGAGCCAGGCACTCCTGCTCTCTCCTCATCCGTTCCATTTCTTCTCTTTTCCATGATTCTTCTCTCACCATCCGATCCCTCTCGCATCTTTCCAACACTTCCAAAAACTTCTTCTGCAAATCCTCTTGCTTCTCCAACACTTCCTTCATCAGCTTCTCAAAGAACCCGGCCATTTTCATCTTCCTCGACACAGAACCTCCAGATTCTTTCCCCGACGAATAGGTCGCGGATGTGGAAGCTGATATGACATCAGCACTGCCAAGGTTGTGGGCCGTTTGGCTGATGGATGGCATCCTGAAATCTTGGACGATGCTGGTGTTTGGTCTGACCATTGCCACGGGAGTGGGAGACCCCAATTCGGTTGATTCCTTTGAGTCTGTGTTGTTGATTTTGCCCAACTGCAGGTTGCCCAGAATCTCTAATTGGTCAAAGAATCTATAGTTTTTCCCTTTCTGACCACCAGATCGGCACTCCTTTGTTCTCTTGTGATACTTGTAAATGTTTTCAAATTTCTCTTTGCACTTCTTGGCACTTCTCTGGTACCCCAACTCCTCCAATTTTCTGATCATTGAATAATAAAAATTTAAACTCCATTTATTTACTAAAGTTTGGAATATAAGAAAATGCCATGACTCTGAATCATAAAACAACCACAACAACCCAATTGGATCCCACAAGAGTAGGGTCCAGAGAGGGTGTGTGTACAG